CAGGTAGATGGTAAAATGAATGTAGTAATGTATAGTGAAATCCTGGAGGACAACCTGATGCAGTCTACAAGAAAACCGACTTGGGAGAAGATTTGTTTTCCAGCCAGATGATGAGCCGAAGCAAACAGCCACACAGCTAAGACCGTATCATAAGAATAAAACTTCCAAGGGGTTAAAAAGCACTGTTTTCCTTTCACAATTAGTCATCTGGAAACATTAACATTTATTAGCTGCAGGTAGCTTATTTAATTAGTGAATCTAAAGCGAATAAATATTGCCCAGCAACACTTGTAATTTCCACAAAATTGAGAGTATTTGGCTGAAAATGGGAAGCAGCTGGTTCTAAATGTTCCATGTGAGTTTTTAAAACAGCAGAACTACCAACAGAGAGTGTAACAGGTGTAGTGAGATGTATTTGTTGTTCTCTTACAGTAAAATAAAAGTGGGCCTCATTTACTGGGGCTAAAAGCAGCTTTGACTACTTGGATCCGTCATTAAATGTCTGAAATCATACAAATACACCTTGTTTCAGCTTTTTCATTTTAAATGCTGTCCTCCTCCTTCACTTCAAAACTCATCTTTTTCAGAAAACACGGTATTCTCTGCTGTACAGACGGTATAGCTGCAGTTTAAATGAACAACACTCCAGAGCTTTGCGTTTTCGCATCAAACAGGCGTCGGTTGAACATCTTAAGTCGGAGCCTGAGCTGAGCAGGTGTTGTCATTCAGACGACATACAGAGTCTGGGATCGATGCCAGAAGAGAAAATCAAAGCGATGCTGCAGAGGCTCGTGGGATATCGCTGCTCCTGTTTTCTCAGCGTCGCTTCCTCCGTGTTGACGTTGAAAAAAAATCTCCTGGACTCTGAAGGTCACGGGTTCAGACTTGTCAAACATGTGAAGCCTCTGCGCGCAGAGACGTGATGAAGCAGACGAGCTGAGCATCGTGTGACCAAACGGAATTCATCAACGGTATGGAGGATGCTTTGACGTAAAGGACGCGCGAGAAGTTGTGTTTTTTTTTTTTTAAATTCAGTGTGTTTAGCGTTCAAATACGTCAACTTTCTCAACAAAACTGTCTCCAAGATGTCAAATCTCTAAACTCTGAGCAGCAGCTTCTAAAAGTTTTATGCTGCTGTTACATTTTTTACTCACTGTGGCTCATTGTTCACTGCAATATAAAGTCCTGCACCTCTGTGGAAACAGAGCAACCTACGACATCTTAAATTAGTTTCCATACTCGTCCTCTCTCTGCTCTGTATAAACACAGCCTGCAGTTCAGCCGAGAACCGAATTTATGTCACGTGACCATTGCTGACAGTGAAGGCCTCGTTTACATGTAGCAAAAACAGTGATATGAAGCTACAAGTCACCCGAAACGATCATCTCTGAAAACTCGGACCAAGGCGGAGATGTGGAAAAACTCCATCTTTATGTTTGCATGTCACAGGAGGAGACGGAGTTTGACATCACAGTATGCGACAAAAGCGTCATCAGCATCATATGTGTGCGACCATGTGTACAGTTTGGCTACTGTGATAGAAATGGATGCTGGTAAAGCAGAGCTTGTTTGGCCTGTTTGTGTTTACATTTAGGACTAGCTCCACTTCTCTATTGGTCCAAACAAACGACCCTCACGTCATTATCGTTGACGTAACAGGAAGTAATTCGTGCCATTCGTTGTTGTGTTTTTTCCAGGATTCTGATTGGCTAGCATGGCTTTATGCTTCTCGTTACACTGCCCCCTATAGGTTTGGCAGCTCATAGCAGCTCTTAGCGGCATGTTTATGCGGGTTTGTGTAAACGAAGATTTTTTTTTTTCAACGATCTGGTGTGAACAATGTTATTTATGAAAACATAGATCTGTTTTTTGTGAACACCAGGCCATGTGTAATCATGGCCTACGTCAGTCATGGCTTCTCGGTTGTGTAGAGGAGCGTAGAATTTTTATTTTTATTATTTTTACAGCAACTTGTTTATATTTTGTGACTTTTAGCAGAATGTAGACTAAAATGGTTTTGATGAAATACCACAATTTTGAGATGAGATTTATTTAATTTGCTGGACACGTCACACACGTTTACTTCAAGAACCGTCAGAAAAATAAAGATCCTATACATTGTTTTAAGGTTTTAAGGGGTTTTTTGTAATAAAATTGTGTCATTTTGGGTATTTAAAAATAACAACATGCAACACACAAAATAGCGGCAAATATCTGAAAAATAATGATAGTTTTGACGTGTTTTTTCACAGTCAACATGTAAATTAATAGTTCTTTTGTTCACTAATTTTACTCGACGGTATCTATAATGGAACAAAAATGGGAAAATCTGTACAATTACAGTAAATGATTCTAAAAATGACAGCTAAAACCTGCATGCTTGTTGTTGTATTGTAGATAAAAGCTGCAGTATAGTTATAACAAACACATATAGACCCACTGAATAAAGCATCCCTGTATACAATAGAACACATCGTTGCTGCTACAACAGCTTCGACACTTGAAGGTTAAAGACGGAGCGATGTTCCCATTTTTCCAGGCTTAGTTTGTCCTTGCGGTTCAATAAATGTACTTTCTGCTCCCGTCCTGTCCACAGAAACGTGTGAATATCAGATTTGTTGTGTTTCTGTCCTCTGATCGTCCGTCCATTTGTTCCGTCCTCCGGTGTCACATAAACCCACAAACTGCTGATGAATCTTCGTCCTCTGACACTCGCAGCTCAAACCAAGGTGAGATATTTGCTCCTGATCGGCCCACAGGAGGAGGAGGGCGTGTTTGATATCTCCACCTGCTCATCTGACACTCATCGATCGCTGCCTTCCTGCTCGTAAAAATCCCATCAGAGGCAGAAACACTTTTTTTTTTAAAGCAGAGCTGCCCTCTGGATTTTTCTGCACATGCATTATTCCTGAAAGGCAGCAGCTCCACACAGAATTAACCGGGATTACTCGCCGCTCTGTGGGGATGCAGATGAGGTGAAGCTGCAGGCCGACTTTTCAATTTGGTGAGTTTTTGGAGGGAAGCTACGGGATCCCAGAGCTGCCAATATTCATCTCCGGGAGACGCAGCCTCCACCTCTGCATGCAAAGTGTTCTGCATGAAACATAGATGTGGGAACAGCAGAGCGGAATTCAAAATGAAAAGGAGGAGAAATTACAGCAGGGATGTGGCTCTGCAGGCGAGTCGTTCTCCAAGCTTCTCCAGTTTGAGTCTGAGTCGAAAACTTGGTGAACGTCCACGTTTCTGCATCCTGATGGAGGCTTTTCTGCCTCCAGCTCCAAACTGTCACTTAACATGTTGTTTCTCGCTGACAGACTTTAATTACATCCCTCGTGTGCTTCAGCTTCATATTTGTGTGAGTCTTGTTAGCTGCTGCTGGTGTTTTATGTCCTCCACGCTGCAACGAATGAACAGTTTTAAACAAGATATGTAAAGATTTTTTTTTACCTCTCTTGTTATTTAAAATTCGTCTTTGTATCTGCATGAAATGTAGTTATTTTACTATATTTGTTGTTATTCGAAAGAAAAAATGGTTTTATTCTTCATGTTTTGTTAAACGAAAGGATAAAATGACAGAAAAAAGGTTTTAATTAACACATAAAAAAATCAGTACTTTTACAAATAATAGTTTGTTCTTTTACAACGTTTGGCCATAAAACAACATTATTTTCACTGTATTTAAAGATACTAATTTATTTGTATAAATGAGTTATTTTGTCTTGTTAATCCAATACTGTATTACTTTATGGTATTTTTAATCTAGTTTGTTTTTTTTATTATTGCATTTTAATTTTATGTTTCAGTCTGATTTTTATCTATTTTTATTAGATTTTTATGTGAATCTATTTAATTAAGTTTTATTGATTTTATTCAATTATTGTTCTTAATTTACTATTGACCGTCATCTTTTTAAACTAACTTTTACTACTGTAAATATTTCTACTTTTTATTATTTTATTTTAATTTCTTTTTTTCCCCTTTTTTTGTTTAATCTAATAAAATCTGTTTGTTACTATTTTATTGTATTTTTAATTCATACTTTTCCTTGTATTATTATTAAGTTCATGTTTATTTCTTATTCCATTTGATCATGTTTTTTGAAAATTGTGTTTTTATTAAGTGATTTATTAAGGGCTGGTGGTTAGCATCGTTGCCTCGCAGCTAGAAGGTCGCCGGTTCGCGTCCCGGTGAGGACACCCAGGATCTTTCTGTGTGGAGTCTCCATGTTCTCCCCATGCAGTGTGGGTTCTCTCCGGGTTCTCCAGCTTCCTCCCACACAGTCCAAAAACATGTTGAGGTTAATTGGTGATTCTAAATTGTCTGTAGGTGTGAATGTGAGTGTGCTTGGTTGTCTGTCTCTAAGTGTAGCCCTGTGATAGACTGGTGACCTGTCCAGGGTGTCCCCTGCCTTCACCCTGAGTCAGCTGGGATAGACTCCAGCCCCCCATGACCCTAGTGAGGATTAAGTGGTGTATAGATGATGGATGGATGGATGTTTTTATTACTTTATTGTATTATGATGCTGTGTCTTTTAAACTACTAAGTAACTGACTACATATCTGTTTCCATTTCTTGTCTTCTTCATTTCTTCAGAGTTCTAATCCAGTTTCGTGTCCCTTGTTTTCCTCCTCTCACGTCCTGATTGATCATATCGACTCTGTGCAACATGTAAACGAAGCAGATTTCAGTCTCTGGTTCCTCGTTAGCTGCGGCTTTAATTTACAACCAGTCGATGGAAATGAACTCCGCTGGTACAAAACGCCTGCGAGGGAAATCCACGACGCCACAACACTGACCAAAAAAATAATTTTCCCCCCCGTTGGATCTTATTGAATATGTATCGGAGCAGCAGCAGCAGCAGAGACTTCATTAAAGCTCCGACGGTAAATAAAACTCAGAGCTGATAACAGGAAGCAGCGGCTCATTGGACCGAATCACAAATGGAAATAATTACATCTTTAATTAGTGTGTTTTCATAATGGTTTCTCTGTGAGATTCAGTTTTGGCAGCAGTTTGTCCAAAACATTTCCACGTCCAGGATTTAATTCAGAAGCTCGTCCTGCATGTTGTTGTTCATTAGTTAATGCAGCACAAAGATGAAAAACGTAATTATTTTCATCCTCTTAGGTCATCATTTCTGTTGAATTATTGGTTCTGCAGCTAAAAATTCACAAATATTTCAATTATTTCTGTCCACAAACGTAAGAAAAAAGGAACAAATCTTCACCCTAAAGCTGCTTCTTTTCTATTTTATTTTTTCCGCTAAATGAAAAACGGGATCATTAGTCAGTTGTTCAGAGATTTATTTTCTCTCTGTTGGTTAAGAAGTTAATCGTGTTTGCTCACAACAATAAGAAACCAATTTATGGTCTCGTGAGGCGCTTTAGTGTCAGACGGATGAATAAACTGCTCGTTTGATCTCATCCTGCTTTAATATGAGAGATTTGATTTCTGTTTGTTGCCTTTTAATTTAGTCAAGTTAGTTTTAGTGCCGATAAAAATGAATATTTTGTGAAGGAGGAGTTTGCAGAAAACAGCAAAGACAGACTTTATGACTCAGATCATACTCGTTTATTTCAGTTTTGTGGAATTTGATGCAAATCTAAATAAAGACATTTCTGTAAAAAAAAAAAAAAAAAAAAGCATAAAAAGGTGAAAAAAGTTTTTTCATTACTTTAGCTTCAGGTTTTATCTTTTTAATCTACTTTTTTAATTTGCTAGCTTTGCTTTTTTTAAAATTCAATTTATTATATTTATTATTATTCTGTTTTATTTTTATGCACATTTAATTATTTTTAAGTTAATTTGTTTCTGATTCTTTTTAATGAAGTTTTTTAAATAAACTTTTTTATTACTTAGCTGTATTTTTGATTAGTTTTATCTAGCTTTTAATATGTTTTCATTATCACATTGTATTTTTATGTTTTAGCCTGTTTATGTAATTTTATTACTTTTTTTATTTTATCTTTATGTTTTTCTTTCTTAATCTTTTATTAATTTTATTCAGTATTTTTTCTTACTTTAGAATATTGTCTTTTACATAAATTAAAAAAAAAATATTTTCAAAATAATTTTCTGTTAACTTTTGTCTTTTTAATGATTTATTGAATTTTATTATAATATTTTAATTATTTTTTCAGGCTATATTTTACTCTCTTCTTGTCTGTTCATCAGTTGTCTTTGAAGCACTTTGAACTGCAGCAAAATGGATGAAAACTGCTGCACAAATAAAGTTTAATTGAATCATTTTACTTTGGACAGCGGTGCAGGGAAAGTTAGACGATGTAAATAAAGTAAACAGCAGCAAATACAGCAACTAGATATGAATATGAAAGTTTTCTTAAAACATGCCGAAAACTGAACAGAGTCTGGTTGGTGGCTCGTCTGCAGAGACTTTGCAGTGTTTCTTAAATCCTGGTTCTCTGCTTGACTCCTTGTAATCAAATTAGGAGATTTAGTTTTGTTGTGTTTGTTTCATTAAGACCCGACTTGGACGTTCCTGCCGAGCAGCTGTGAGTTATAAAACAGCAGATTAACATATCGTCTCCTTGTGGGAGAATCAAGGTCGACCTGCTCGATACTTCATCACATCATCCAGATGGCTTTAACAGATGAAACCATCACACAACTTTCATTATTAACTACCTGCTCTGCGTGAGACGGCGAATTAGCAGCGACGCCCACATAAACCAGAATATTCCCTTTATTCTGGACGCTGCAGGATATAAACAGCGAGCGAATAATCTGCATTGAGGAGCGGAGGCCCTCATTATGCAGCACAGATTCTGCATACGGCTAAAGAAGAAGTGTTTTATTATACAGGAGGATCCTCTGCTGAGCCGAAGCTTCTCGCATTCTGCAGAGAATTCAGCCGACACAAACTCTAAATGCGACAACTTTTTAAATTAGCTTTAAAATCTGCCCAAAAATGTGGAAGCTTTGTGAGGCCGCAGCTCCGATGGCTTCCATAAATCACAAGTGACAGCACACAGGAGACGACCGAGCTGGTTTCATATCAATTAATACGCGTCACTTTGCTTCTACTTCCTCCTTCGTCACAATAAAAACAAGAAAGGCCTCCGGGTGCTTCTGCGCTGACACAGTTTGGCTTCGTGGAGGTTAAAAAGCAGAGAAGGTTTGAACTTCCGCCACTATTTCAGACCCCCTTTTTTTTTTTTAATGTGCAAAGCTGAGAATCTCCTCAGAGAGTCCGTCTGAAAGCTGATTCATTACTTTATTCCGAGTGTGACCGAGCAGCTGCAGAGTGCAAAAGATTCTGTGTTAAATTGGTCCCGTTGGACAGAATCTAATCGTGCTGCTGCTGCTGAAGATTCGTCTCCAAGAATCTGAGTTCTCGTGCAAGTAAAGTGCAAAAAGCAAAATGTTCTGGAGCCAGATGACACTTTTCCTAATGTGTTGTTAATCAGAGAATAAAAGAGAAAAATGAAATAAAAATCAGACTGAATCAAAATCCATCTACTCTGTAAAAAAAATATTAAAAATGTAAAAAAAATAAATAAATCTGTAAAGTTTAAAAACTGTAAAAACAAAATTGTCCTGTTAAAATAAAACATTATTGACAATTTTGTGTGAATTATTTAAATCTTTATTTCTCTGATTTTACAAGACATTAAGCGCAATTTTACAAAACAGGCAAAAAAAATTAAAAATCTGTAAAATACCTGTTAAAATTATTTGCCATTTTTCAAATTTAAAAAACACAAAAAATTTAATAATTTTACAGTCCAACATGATTAAAGGACAAAAATACGTAGTGTTCATTTGGACATTATTGACCTTTCTGGACAGTTTTTTGGTTTGTTTTCCTGATTTATGACTTAACGTGTAAAATGATGCTTTTTTTTCTATGATTTCACTCATTATGTGTAATTCAACAAACCAGAGAAAATCTTTAAATCTTTAATCTTTATATATATATATAAAGTCAGATTTTATGTAACCTCCAGACATGATGCTTCACTTACAATAAGAAAAAAAAAGTCTGTTTTTATTTCACTGTCATTTAATCAGTCAGATATTCTATAAAATGAATTCATTGTTAAATGTATGTTTTCCAGCTTTCTTTAGCTTCACACGAGCAAAACAAATGGGACTAAATCTCTTGTATTCACTGTTTGTTGGACGTTCTGCACACGTGAAAATCCACCTAACGAATCCTTCCTGGGATTCATTTACGTTATTCCGTCGCAGCTTCTTCCAGTCAGACGTGATGTTTTCAGACTCTCTGGTTTTTTTGTAATTCTTCCTGTGAACTCTGCAGCTTAAAGAAACTCCTCTGGTGCATTTAAAAATTCACCTGAAACTCCAGCAGCATCCAAACAGAACAGAGATGTGCGTGTGCTGTATGTGTTTCGGTGTTTGTTTCCTCCCTCGACCTGGAGAACAGGTGGAAGCTAATGAGCGTCATTACTCACCTCTCTCGGACGCCGGGGCCAAATCTATGAAGCTCCGACACTTTTCACCTGAGAGGACAGACAGGAGATGATGGAGGGGGG